GGACCTTGTGACCTCAGTCACCCTGGAAGTGTTGGTAGCAACTGAAGGATCATTCACTTAACACATATTCACCAGACATCAATTTTGTGCTAGGCGCTGTGCTGCCTGCTGGTGTGTGTGACTGTGTGTGTAATATGGAGTGCCTATTTATAATGAATAATAACAGTATGAATGATGATGACAGCTAAATTTATTGAGCATTTATTATGTTGCAAACCCTTTTCTAAGCATGGTGGCATAGTGTGTTTTTCTTTTTTTTTTAGTATTGTGATTTTATTTATTTATTTATTGAAGTATAGTTGACTTACAATGTTGTGTTGGTGTTTTTGTTGTTGCTGTTTTAGTCACTAAGTCGTGTCCAACTCTTTTGCGACCCTGTGGACTGTAGACTGACATGTTCCTCTGTCCTCGGGATTTCCTAGAGGGTTATCATTTCTTACTCCAGGGGCTCTTCCCTACCCAGGGATCAAACCCATATCTCCTGCACCAGAAGGCAGATTCTTTACTGCTAAACCACCAGGGAAGCCCATGTTGGTGGCATATTATCTTATTTAATTCTCATGATAAGCCTTGGAAGTCAGCAGATTCTATTATTATCTTCCATTCTGCAGCTGAGAGAGGATAAGTAACTTGCCGAGGGCCATTGGGGTCATAGTGGTGAAATTAGAGCTCCCTCAGACTGAAAGGTCTGCACCTGTGACCATTTGCCTTCCATAACTTTAGTTCTAATAGAAGAAACAAATCATAACCTCATGCATACATAAATAAAAATAATTGCCACCTCTGCTGAGCGGCAGAAGGAAATGCAGAGGGAGCTGAGGTAGGAGTGGATGTCTTCAGACAGAGCTGTTGGGGGTTGGGGGAGAGCTGGAGAGGCAAGCGGACTCCAGGAGCTAGGACAGCGGGTGTCGAGACCTGGAGGTGGGAAAGAGCCTGGCTTGTTGTAGGGTCAGGCGCGAGGCCTCAATGGCTGGGGAAATAGGGGTCTGAGGGCCTGGGCAGGAGTCTGGGTTTTCCTTGAGGCGCTGTATATATATATATATATATAAAATATGAAAATCTAAAATTATTTTATTTATTTAAAATTTATTTTTTATTTGAATAAATAAATTTTATTTATTTTTTATTTGAATAAATAAATTTTATTTATTTATTTTTTTGCACGACACATGGGATCTTAGTTACCTGTCCGAGGATCAAACCTGTGCCCCTCACATTGGAAATGCAGAGTCTTCACTATCGGGACCGCCAGGGAAGTCCTGGCCCTGGTATATTTTGAGTATGGTGGAGATGCGATTGGGTTTACATATTAAGGTGATTCTGCGTGGGCTGGAGGACATGAGAGGAAGGAGAGGTCTGTTGGAGTCCAAGGCTGACGCTGGAGGAGGATGCCCTGAGGGGACCTGGAGCAGGGTGGTGGCTGGGACAGGCCTGGGGGCTGTTTAGAGAGATGTGCTGTAGGCAGGATCCTGGATGTAGATTTCATGACAGGGGTGAGGGAGGTATTCACGGATCAAATGCTATTAATACAACTTCCGGATCTTCAGAATACTCCAGTTGGAGGGGGGAGAAGTGGGGGGGGGTGTGGGTGAAATAAGAGTGATGGCTGTGACGCTTGGCGCTGGAGACAAAGGGCTCTGTTGCACTAATCTCTCTACTTTCATGGTGCTTGAAATTTTACATAATTAAAGTTAAAAAGAAAAAACAAGAAAAAGATTGCTATACAAGTGTCAAGTTTAAGCAAGAGTGCTGACTCTATTTCCTGAGATGGAAAAGATAGAGAAGAGCAGGGTTGGAGGGGGTGACGATCAGACATCCTCTTTCTTTTTTTTAATATATATATATTTTTCTATTTGGCTGTGCTGGGTCTTAGTTGTGGCACACAGGATCTTTGATCTTTGTTGCAATTAGCTGCCCAAACAAGGATCGAACCTAGGCCGCCTTATTGGGAGTGCAGAGTCTTAGCCACTGGACTACCAGGGAAGTCTCTCAAGCACCCTTTTTCTGCCACAGCATGTGGCACCACTCTCTCTCCATCATAGAACAGAGACAGAGGCTTCTGGGATTTAAGGACAAAGCTCTGGTCCCCATCCTCAGCCATTATTCTCCTTTTGAGAATGGTTTAGAATGGAGCATCCTGGTTCACTGTTGGCCCTCATAAAGTCCAAACACATGAACAAAACACACCAGACCAGTAGAAGGGAGCTGTCTAGTGACTCTCCATTAAGAGGTGGATGTGGTGGTCCAGTGGTTAAGACTCTGAACTTTCGCTGCGGGGGGGCACAGGTTTGATCCCTGGTGGGAGAATTAAGATCTTGGATGGTGTGACCAAAAACTAGAAAGAAAGAAAGAGATGGAACTGGGTTCAGAGCCTGTATCAGTTATTCACTGCATGCAACAGACCACTCCAGAACGTAGTGGCTTGAAAAAAGGATTCCTTATTTCTCACCAGCCTGTAGGTCAACAGTGTGGGCTGGGATCAGCTCATTGGTTTGTCTGCTAGTCTCAGCTGGGGGGCATTCTTGGGGCTACAGTCCTCTGCGGCTCCACTGGGGCTGACCTGTTTGAAATGACCTCACTCGTCTATCTGGAAGCTGATGCTGGCCCTTGGCCGGGGTGTGTGACCGTTCACCTGTCAGAAGGTCAGGCTGGGCACCTTCACTGTATGGTGGTCTCTGGTCTCCAGGAGAGTGTAGGTGGAAGCTGCAAGCCCTCTAGCAGCCCGGCCTCCAAAGTGGTGAAGCCTGACTTCTGCCACAATCTATTGGTCAAGGCAAGTCATAGGCCAGCCCAGATCCAAAGAGCGAGGAAATAGATTCTCGATGGGAGAATCTTGATGGGAGGCACTGAAGAGTTTGAGTCCGTATTTAATCTGCTGTAGGCCAGAGGGTCCCAACAAATGACCAAAGCATGTCATTCTGCCCCCAGTAGGCCCACATCTCATATACCACCACCTTCTCCCTGAAACAAGCATTATAAAATGGTTGGTGTTCAGGAATTCCCTCGCAGTCCAGGGATTAGGACTCAGCACTTTCACTGCTGGGAAGCCTGGGTTCAATTCCTGGTCAACCCCAAAGGCTTCGAGGTGTGGCAAAAAAAAAAAAATATCTGTGGGTGCTCATTTTGCAGACCAGTCTATAGACATTGATTGGTTAGGAATGGCGTTTGAGTCATTGGCTGATTGCATTTTTTAAAATTTATTTATTTGGTCTTAGTTGCAGCATATGGAGAAGGAAATGGCAAACCACTCCAGTACTCTTGCCTGGAAAATCCCATGGACGGAGGAGCCTGGTAGTCTACAGTCCATGGGGTCGCTAAGAGTCGGACACGACTGAGCGACTTCACTTTCACTTTTCACTTTCATGCATTGGACAAGGAAATGGCAACCCACTCCAGTGTTCTTACCTGGAGAATCCCAGGGACAGGGGAGCCTGATGGGCTGCCATCTATGGGGTCACACATGACTGAAGCGACTTAGCAGCAGCAGCACGTGGGATCTTCAGTCTTTATCACAGCATGTGGGATCTAGCTCCCTGACCAGGGATTGAATCTGTGCCCCCTGCATTGGAAGCACAGCATCTTAGCAACTTGAGCACCAGGAAAGTCCCTCGATTGCATTTTTGAAGATGGCCACTAATATACCTCCCACCTCACATGCTAATCTTACAATGTGATGGTGACGAGCCTCCATGGAGAGGTGAGGGTCTTACATTCCCTCCCTTTGAAATTGGGTGGACCTTTGAAACAGGTTTAACCGATAGAAAGGGGCAGAAGTGATGTATTTGACTTCGGAGGCGAGATGGCAAAGAGCAATACAGCCTCCACTCTCTTGGTGAATTTGACCTTGGACCCTAGCCGCCAAGCTATAAGGAAGCCCAAGTTTGGAGATGCCCTCTTTGGGTGTTCCAGCCAATAGCCCTAATTAGACCCTCAGCCATCAGCCAGCATCAACTGCCAGACACGTGCGTGAATGTTCTTTCGGATGATTCCACTCCTGGCTTTTGATTCTTCCAGCAGGGGCCATAGACGTCATGGAATACCATCCTCATTGTGCCGTGTCTGAATGTGTGACCCACAGAAATCAGGAGAGATAATAATGACTATTGATTTTTTAAAAATAATTTTGTTTATTTATTTTTGGCTGTGCTGGGTCTTCCTTGCTGCGCCGGCTTTTCTCTAGCTGCGGTGAGCCAGGCTACTCTCATTTTTCGGTGTGCAGGCTTCTCATTGTGCTGGCTTCTCTTGTTGCAGTGCAGGCTTTAGGGTGAGCGGGTTGCAGCGGCTGTGGCACACGGGCTCAGCGGTTGCAGCTCCTGGGCTCTAGAGGACAGGCTCAATAGTTATGGCGCATGGGCTTGGTTGCTCCTTGGCATGTGGGATCTTCCCAGACCAGGGATCGAACCCATATCTCCTGCATTGGCAGATGGATTCTTTACCACTGAGCCACCAGAGAAGACTGATTACTGATGTTTTAAAACACTAAGTTTTAGTGTAATCTGTGTTGCAGCAGTAGATAGACAATAATGTAAGCTGCTGGTAATAGAGACAAGAAAAAACAAACTAACAGTTTACTTAAACAAATTAACAGTTTGGCTTAAACAAACTAACAGTTTACTTCTTTTTTTCACTGAGAGGGTCTGGAAATAGGCAACCCAGGGATGATATGGACATCCTATGATGTCATCAGAAGCCCAGGGTCTTTTTTTGTCTGGTTGGTTTTTTTTTAATTAACAGTTTGGCTTAAACAAACTAACAGTTCTTTTTTTCACTGAGAGGGTCTGGAAATAGGCAACCCAGGGATGATATGGACATCCTATGATGTCATCAGAAGCCCAGGGTCTTTTTTTGTCTGGTTGGTTTTTTTTGGCCACACCATGTAGCATGCAGGATCCTAGTTCCCCAGTCAGGGAAGCTTGGAATCCTAACCACTGGACAACCAGGGAATTGTTGTCTTCCCGGGGTCTTTTATTTATTTATTTATTTATTTATTTATTTATTTATTTGCTGATCACTGGACTTTATTAAGATGAAATCACTGATAATTACACAGAAATTACTTGCCTAAGCCAAAATCCTTGAGATTCACATGAACTTAGTTACACAAGTAAACATCATGTTCAAAACCATGAGGAAATATCCCAATGCACAGGTGATGAAGGTTGGGGTGAACAAATCTGCACACTTATTTCAAGCTGTTAAACAGTTTGTGGGCCACACAGTGGTCTCTTGCATGCAAGAAGTCAAGAGCTACTCTGTGCGGTCCTCCTCCGTCTGTGACCTGGAGGATACACGCTCATCACAGCTCTAGCCGCTCCCGAGCCTTTACACATTTCTCCGGCTGCTTGCATTGCTCTCTCACTGTTTTTAGAGGATCCACTAACTCCTCCTCCTCTTCTTCCTCCTCCTTGGGATCTCCAGAGCTGGTCAGCATCCTTTGCTCGTCCTCTAGCCCCACGTCCGGCTGCGGTTCTGGACTCAACACAAGCAGCAACAGCGGCAGCTCCCCAGGGCCTTTTTGTTCTATTTTGTTCTATTATCCTCAGCACAGGGCTCCAACTCTCAAGGTAACCTCCTGATCCAAAGTAGCTACTGGAGTTCCAACCATCACATCTGCCTTCCAGGCTGAAGGCAGGATGAAGCAGAGAGGACAGAACTAGCCTTCACCAATATTGTTTCCATTTCGAGGAGCATTTTTAGAAATTCCTTGCAAGATCTTCTGCTTATATCTCATACCCTAAAATTAAGTCACACAGCCACACCATATGTGCAAGGGAGGCTGGAAATGTTGCCTTTTAGCTGAGCTCATCGCCATCTAAAGTAAAACTGAGGTTCTGGTGTTGAGGAGGGGAGGAGAATGGATAGTGACTAGTGGGCCGTTGGTGGCTGATGTTAGAGCAGGACAATGGAAGAGGGGGACAATTCGGGGGAGCTGGATCTGCACATTGGCCCACAACCTGCTGCAGCTTCCTTGAATGTTTGGGGACCGTGGAATTTTCCATCTAAGTTGCTTCTGAACAAAGGATGGACTTCACTCCCTGCGAGGCAGTGGGCTGATGTATGAGGAAAGCTCTGGTCTCTAACTTCACCCTCCCCAGGTGAACAGCAGGCAGCCAGACTTTTGCTAAAAATCTAACGTGCACTGAGCTTATCACTTCCTGCTCGACCACCTTCCATGGTTGCCCCAGTTTACTGGCAAATTTTTGTCATTGATGTCGAAAGCTCAGCCACCTCTTCCACAGCTCTGCTTCGACCCCTACTTCATGCCTGGCAGCCAGGCCTTTGTGTGGGTAGCTCCCACTGTCCAGAACACCCTCCACCCATCTCTGCCTGGGAGAATCGAACCCACCCCTAGCACTCTCATGGTGCCTTTGCATGGACTAGAAAAGGCTGTCCTTTATCTGGGCTTCCCAGGTGGCTCAGTGATAAAGGATCCACCTGCCAATCTGGGAGATGCAGGAGACGCGGGTTTGATCCCTGGGTGGGGAAGATCTCCTGGAGGAGGGCATTGCAACCCACTCCAGTATTCTTGCCTGGAGAATCCCATGGACAGAGGAGCCTGGTGGGCTACAGTCCATGGGGTCACAAAGAGTCGGGCATGACTGAGCGACTAAGCACAGCACCCCTCCCTTAGTCTTCAGCACACCCAGCAGCAGAATGGAAACCCCTGCTGGGCTGGAAGAGGGGCCACTTGCATAGTCCCCTGGAAATGACCCAGATGCCAGTCGATTGGAGTCAGCTACTCAGAGCAATGCAAACCTCAATCTCAGAGGCCCTAGCCCGGGCAGGGAGCTCACCCTCTCCTGGGGCGCTGCAGCCACCACCACCCCTGGCACACTACCCCCCACCCAGACCCTGCCTGGCTCACTGTGTTTGTTGTGGTGGCCTCGAACCCACCACCCGGAAACGCACGAGAGAAGAGCTTCCATTTCATACCTTTTATTTTATCTGCATCTTCTCTGCCTTCTCCCTCCCCCACCGGCTCCTGAGAGGGGGTGGAAGCCCCAGTTAGAAGGGAAGGGACTACTCTCGCCTCCCTGGGGGAGGGACGGTGTCCCCTGGGCCAGGCCCCAGTGATGGAGGAAGCAGGAGCTTCCCTGGCAGAGCAAGGGCATCGTCCAAGAGGCTGTGGCCGGGGCTGAGGCCCCTCGGATGCCCTGCAGCCCCGAGCCCCGTGGGTCATCGGGAAGGCGAAGAGCAGAGAAGTCGGGGGCGATGAGAGGTGTGTGCGTGGCTGAGAGGTGGACACAGATGTCAGGGGCCAGGAGCGGAGACTAAGGAAGGTGGACTCAAGGTGGGGCCCTGAGGAGGAACCCCGGGTTATAGGGGTGACTGGGTGCAGGGGAAGGGTGCGCCAGGGAAAACAGGGAGGTGAGGTGAGTGGAACAGGATTGTGCTCCAAGAACCAGGCTCCCGGTAGAGGGGCTGTGCTGCAGGGTCTGATCAGGGGCTGGCCCTGAGCAGAGGCCTGTCAGGGGAAGAGGACAGGGGCCCTGGGAGGGGAGCGGGGCCGAGGCCGTGGTGCTGCCGTAGCCAACTCTCCAGGTTTGTGGATGCCAGCCCAGCTGGGCGTGGCCCCAAACCACCAATTTGTGCTTCTGGTTTGCTTGAGGGCCCCCAACATGACCTCCACCGTGCCGGGAAGGGTCCACAGGCAGTCGGCCCTCTGCGGCGGGCAACTGCTGTCCCCAGGACTCCTCCCCCAGCCCAGGTTTTCTGGAAACTTCCTTTCCTGCCCAGGCTGGGAGGCCCCCCGAGCTAGATCACCTGCCATCGCAGGGGGTGGGACATGGTGGTGGTGGTGGCGGTGGAGGGGAGCCATGCTGGGACGGTCCTAGACTCAACTGCGGGGGTGTCCCTCCGCCCCCCAGAGGACCAGGAGTCACTGAAGGGTTAGTCTGTCTAAGGGCTCCACCCCCACCCCCATCCCTGGTGTGCTGGTCTGTTTTCCCTCCTGTTTTGGATGGCAATCACTCAGGCGTGGAAGCTCCTGGGGTGGGATGGTGGGGAGAGGGCCAGTCTGGGGGCCACGTGGGTCTCAGAGAGCACCCTGCCCGTCCCCCTGGCAGCCGCTGTCACCGTGGACGATGAGCACCGGGAAGTAAAGGGCGTCCTCATAGCACGGAGGGCTTTCCAGGGGTTCTGTGTCCTCTCCGCGGCGCCCCAGCGGCCCCCCGCTCAGGCTTCGGAAGACCCCCGGGGTGGCCCGACCCCCGGCTCCCAGCGAGAGGCGGCTGCGGCTGAAAGGCAGACGGGGCCCGCTGGGCCGGGCGGGGGGCAGCGAGTTGCTGCTGACCGAGCGGCGGCAGCGCTGGCAGCCCCGGAGGTAGGCGCCCGAGCCGGCGCCCATGACCACGGCCTCCGAGTAGCTGGGCACCAGCTGCCGGTTGGAGCAGATGTGCCACTCCAGCTCGGTGAAGTCCACCGTGGCCACTCGGGAGAGCGGGGGCCCGCTGGGCACGGCGCCGGGCGGCGGCGAGCTGGCGCCGAAGAGCTTCTCCACCTGGTAGTGGACGTGGGCCGTGCCGTAGGCCGCCACCACGCGCAGCGGCCAGGACAGCGTGGCCGCCGACACCAGCCAGAAGACCCAGGCGCGCGCGTACCAGGGCGGGCTGCGCGGGTCGGCGAACACCATGAGGGACTCGCGGAAGTCCACGTCCTTCAGGTGCATGCCCTCGCGGGCCTCCAGGTAGTCGTCCAGGCCCTCGTTGGCGCTGAAGAAGCGGGCCCGCTGGGTGAGGTACGAGGCCTCGGCCTCGGCGCTGCCGAAGCTGAAGCACTTGGTGAAGCGCAGCCGCGTGGCCGCGTGGTCGGCCAGGCCCACGAGCTCCTTGGAGACGTCGCGGACGCCGTGCGCCGAGTAGTCGAACTCGCCCCGCGCCGTGCGGCTGTCGGCCCGCTCGTGGTAGACCTGCGTGGTGGTGTAGGCGTCGCCGTTGCGGTAGCGGGTGATCTGGCGGGTGCGCCGCACGTAGTGGTAGCTGGTGGCCTTCCACCAGACGCAGGGCGGCGCCTGCTGCAGCCGGCGGATCAGGGCGAGCACGGTGTTGGCGTCGGTGCGCGGTGCCTGGCAGGACCGCACGTGACAGTGCCAGCACTCGGCCAGGTAGAGGAGGTAGAGGAGCGAGACGAAGGCCAGGGGGATGTACAGGTAGCCGTCGGAGCAGGGGCTGGCCGGGTAGGTGGGCGGCGGCCCCCCGCCTCCGCGGGCCAGGGCGGCCTCCGGCCCCAGGACCAGCCGGGGCACCGTGGCCAGGCGACACCAGGCCACCACGGCGCCGCAGGCGTGGATGAGCAGGGTGAGAAGCAGGCACTTCCAGTGCGACTCGCGGCACAAGGAGCTTCCCAGGGACTGCTTCAGGGGCCGCTGCTGCAGGAGGGGCAGAGGGAGGGGAGGCCGCGGTCAGCCCCGTGAGGGGGTGGGGCTTCGCGTCCCACTGTCCAGAGGAGGAACCGGAGGCTCTGAGCGAAGGAGGAACTCGCTCCTGGCCTCACCCCTCTAGCCAACTCACAGGAGAGCTGCAGGACTCAAACTGTGTGCCCTGACCCTGGCCTCCACCCTGCCCTGTCACCCCTCAGGCATGTAGGAGAAAACAGATTCATCTCTGCCACAAGAGGGAAGGATACCCCAGCCCCCCAATGACTGGCTGTTGAGAAAATTGCCTTCTGGTCCTGACTTCGCTCCCGATTTGCTGTGTGATTTCGGCCAGATCCTTGCCCTCTCTGGGCACTGATTCCTGGACCTGGGGGTGTGGGAAGCCAGGGTGGCAGGGGGTCCTAGGGGTGAAGAGCCTAGGGGTGGTCTTAGGAGCCCGGGACTGGGTGCTGGCTCCACCATTGACTGTATGACTTGGCCAGTCCCCTCATCCTCTTTGGACCTCAGTTTCCTCATCTATAAATTGGGGTTGTTTACAGTCAACTGGGGTTGTGACGAGTCAAGGAGATCCTATGTGTGAAGATCTTAGCATAGGGTCTGGCCAATGGAATAGATATTATTACCATTACCCTGCAATCCCTCTGGTCCATTGGTCTAACTCGGGATGGCAGGAGACTTGGGAGAGGCTTTTAAGTAAATGAGAGAGGAAGAGAGAGAGGTGTGAGTCTGGAGGGAGGGGAGCAGATGGAGCACCGTCCTCCACTCCCCATCTGCCCTAAGGGAGGGGGCGGGACACAGCTGCTGGGCAGCAAGGACCACTCCCTGGCCCAGGGACTCGAGCACACCCTCCCTGGCAGAGCTTCTAGCCTGGCCCCCACCTCATCCCAGATGCAAGGAGAGAAAAGAGGGAGGACAGAAGGGGTGAAAAGGGGAAGAAGGAAGAGACGGTCTGGAGGAAACAGCATAGGTGGGGTTAAGGGGCCACCGTGTCTGTCACAGTCCCACCAGGCTCCGAGAGACCCAAGAGGAGAGGAAGCGTCCCCAGCCCACCACAGGTGCGATACCACTCCCCTGACCCGCAGGGGCAGTCAGGTGCTCATACCCTCATCCACCCCCAGGATCCACCCCACCCCAAGTTCATCGAAAAATCCACCCACCAGGAATGTGAACGCTGCCTGTTTATCTGACACACACCAGCCCCTCACCAGTACCCAGGGCACAGCCCCCTTCCCCATGGTGACATGGTGCCAAGGTGTGTGTGCACTTGCCCCTCCCCCCTCCCCCAGGTCTCCTCCCCCAGGTCCACCCACCACAGGACACACAGAGGCACATACATGTTACACACTCACTGAAGCCCAGGGACACACCTTACCTATCACAGTGCACATCCCCCATCCCTACCCTACTGCAACCTGACACCCACACCCTACAGACTCTACTCGGAGAGACCCACCCACAACAGGGCTGCACTCACACGCACTCACTCATTAGCACTTCACCCAAGCCACCGGGCCCCCCAGTCCCTCACCTGACTATAGGGCACATATGTCCCATTCAAGGTGTGGGGAGCACCCACTGACATCCACACACCCACAAGCACCCTACATTCACCTAAACACACACATAGATCCACTCACTGCCTATCACCCCGACACCCCTCACTGGGCCCCACACCCCTGCAGATCCTCTTCCTCCTTATGACTGAGGAGGGGCCATTCTGAGGGTCCCAACCATCAGGATGGGCCCTGGGTCCTCACCTCTGGGAGAGGGAGAAGGGGTACCCAGAGGCCACCTCCCTTCCTCTCCCCTCCTCCCTCTGCTCCCCGCCCCCCCAAGTCCCTGCTACTGCTGCTGCATTGCAGGCTCCGCCCGGGCACCTCAAGAACGGCGGGCCGGTCCGGGGGCCTGACCCGTGGGCTCCGGGGAAGCGGGGCAGCGCTGCAGAATGGGGACGCGCAGGGGCCTGGTGCTGACGTCACAGGAGGGCG